CGCCCCGCCGAGCGCCGGCCCTCCTCCCCTCCCCTGCGCCGCGCCGCGCCGCGCGCCCCCCACGCCCCGCCCCCGCGCGGCTCCCTCACGTTGTAGGGCATGAGCGGCGACAGCCGCAGCAGCAGCACGAGCTTCCAGCCCTCCTCCGCCACGGCCCTGTCTATGGCCTTGAAGTTTGGCACCCGCTTCAGCAGCTCAGCCGCGACCAAATCATGCAGCAGGTAGCGCCCCAACAAGAAGGCAATGGTCATGCCTGGGGCGCGGCGCGGCGCGGGCGGCGGCGCGGACGGTTGGGGCCGCCGGTTGCGGCGTGAGGGGTATGTTCACGAGCAGCGCCGCGGGGCTCGGGTTCGCGCCAGCGGCGCGCCAACGAGAGAGAGATTTCGAGGGGCATGGGTTGCTGGAGGCGTGGCAAGGCGTCGCTGCCCCGCCTGTGAGCGGCGGCGGCCGCCGCCTGCGGGGGCGCTCACCCGTGACAGTGGAAACAAACGACACAGCCGCGCCCGCGCCGAAGCCGAACGCGGCGCCGGCCGCGACGCTGAAGAGCATGCCGGGCAGCATGAGGATGACGCCCGCCGTGAACGCGAGCGTGAAGAGCGCGATGCTCCAGGCGGTGTTGCGCCGCATGAGCTGCACCACCCAGAAGATGTTGGCGGGCGTCGCGTACCAAAGGGCCACGAGGGATAAGGAGACGATAAGGACGAGGGCGGCGGCCCGCGGCGCCGACCACGCCGCGTCCGCGTCGCCGGCGGCCGGCAGCCGCGGGCTCTCCGCGAGCGCCGCGGCGCACTCGAACGCGGCGCGGCAGCGGAGCGGCGCGAGGGCGCCGCCGAGGCGGCGGGGCGGGGGCTGCGGCGCGCCCTCCGCTCCGGCAAAATCCTGCGGCACGGAGGCGCCGCTCGGCGGCCGTCCGAATGTTTCGAGCAGGTTGATCTGGGTTTCATCGTCCAGACCTGCGCCGGCGCCGGCGGTCAAGGGGTCCCCAGGGGACAGCTGTCTGCTCGGCGCGGGCACCAGCCGCGGCGCAGCGTGCAGCAGCGGCACAATCTCTGTGGCATCGCGATTGCCGCTGCGGCCACGTTCAAGGTCGCGCTGCTGCTCGCCGGCTGCACGGAACATTTGCGGCGATGCACTTGCAGGTGCGGCGGCGGAGCCGCGCGCACGTTGCAGCGCGCAACGCTGCACCGCGTAAAACCTGCGGCCCGTAGGCCTCACGGAGCCTGTAAGACCTCAAATAATTTCACGTCTATCCCTGAACCCTGGCGTTCCATTGCCTGTGCGCATCGCAGCTGCCAGCCTTGGAACAGCTGCGCTTGGGCCCGCGTTGCCCGCGGCCAAGCACAACGCTGATGTCTATGCAAGAATGTATTATTTCAAAACAAGATGCCCACTGATGCCTGTGACTGTAACGCGTGGAATTGTTGCCCTGTCTGCCCAGGCAAAAGCATCATCGCGTGGCCTGCATCGTGCGGACACCAAATTATCTTTGAGCTCATGCATCGCTCCCAGGCCAGTGGTGCTGCGTCCACATCGTCACTAGGCACTGCCAGGGACTCATCTCATTGACTCATCTCAGCAACTGCCTTTTGACTGGTTGGCTGGCTGCTCCAGACACCAGAGCCCAGCCACAGAGCAGGCGGCAGTCTGACATCAAGCTTGCTGTAATTTCAAATCCCCCTTGCTTCGAGACCCCACTTGACCAGCGTTGAGGGCGGCGGCGCCGCACTCACTGCGCAATGCTGGGCCTGCACAATCCAATCAGCCCACTTGGCAGTGTCACGATGACACCCTCAAGAGCCGCAGTGATTGCCCAACAACAACCCATATGGTTCGACTTCAAGCACAGTGCAAGAAGGCGGCAGCATTCACTGGGGCAATGCGCATCAACGGCTGGGCACTCGCAGCTGACGAGCTGTCACAGCTCACACCGTGTGCAATGGCTGCCGGAATTGGCTGGCATAGTTCCTAGCAGCGCCCACCCGCCACACTGACCATTGCAAGAGTAAAAGCCCAGTAAAATCCAGCGCTTGCAAGAGCAGAGCGCCGACACCCGCCCTCTCCCCCCTCAGCCGTCACCCCACGCCGCGCCACCATGAACCTCTTGCCGCGCCCGCCGCCGCCGCTCCGCGCGCGCCGCCGCCATGCACGCCTTGCGCGCCTCCCACTCCAGGCCCCCCAGCAGCTGCTCCCGAAGCGCCGCGTCACTCGGCCGCGCCGCGCCGCGGGGGCGGCCCTCGGGGGCGGCCTCCCATAGCAAGGGCAGCAGCGACGGCCCCAGAGCGCGCGCGACGACCTGCGGCGCGAGCGACAGGGACGGCCGCGCGTGCGGAGACGGCGGCCCTCAACCAGCTGCCTCCAACTTTGTGGCGGTGCAGAACACGACCAGCAGCGGGGTGCAATCGGCAGACACCGGCAGCAGGGGGGCCCCCGGGGCCGGTGCAAGCCGGCCCCACCACGCACGCGCGAGGTCGGCTTCTGCGCATCGCGGCGCACCTGCCGGCCGACTGCGAGTACGTCGCAGGGGGCGTCGGCGACAGCGCTGTACCCACAGGCGCCTGTAGGGTTCAGGGTTCAGGGTTTCTTAGACAACACATGCGGGCCGACGGCGCCGTCGCCTGTGGCTGCTCTGACGGATCCCCAACTGCAGGGGCCGCGGCGGACTGCGTGCAGGGTGCTGAAAAACCAAGCACCTTGGCAGGCGACCCGCGTCTGTGCCGAGGCAGAGCTGCCCAGCCCTGCGACGCGCTTCAGTTTTCGGGGTGCCCTGCAAAGCGGAACCACGATTGCGCGCTCACCTTTGACGCAGCCCTCCCGCACGTCGCCAAAGCACTGTCCAGGCCCCAGCCGCCCCAGCTGGACCACCACCCGCGGCCACGCGCCCTCGGCTGGCCCCGACTCCGCACCGCCAGCGTCGTCATGCACGCCGCCGCCTTTGCCGCCGTCGCCGTCGCCCGTGTCGTCCGCTGGGCTGTCTTTTTCCGGCACCCGCCGGCTGGCGGGCGCCCGAGCGCGGCGGTTGCTGCCGCCCGCGCGCACGCCGCCGCTGGGACTGATCCTGGGATCGCTGCCTGCCGCGGCGGCCGCGGCGGCTACAGACCACCGCACGCCTTTGGAAGCCGCCCCGGCGCCGGCGTCCTGCGACCACGGGCCCGCGTTCGCCGTGAGGGGCGAGGCGGCCGCCGTGGCGGGGAAGGCCGCCCGCCGCCTAGCAGTGGTCGGCCCCCCACGCGGCGTCGCGGCCGCAAGCACGCCGCCGCCGCGCGGCGTTTTGGGGTTGCCGCTGCTGGGCGCGGCCGCTGCGGCCGCTGACTTCTTTGACTTGTGGGCCCATTTCATTGCCGCTTCAATGGCCTGCACCAGCGGCGCCAACCCCTCCACGTGCGCGCCGCCGCCAGAGGCCTCCTGCTGTGCCGCCCCATCAGCACCAGCCAGCCCGTCAGCCGCCGCGGCATCGCCACTCCCGCCGCCGCCAAACGCCGGCGTCTGCTCGGCAGTTTCTCCCGGCCCCAGCGGCGGAAGGCACAGCAACGGCACAGACGGGCGCCGCATCGCGCAGCCGCCAGGCGCGGCTGCGGCGCCCTGGCCCGGCCGCACTGGCGGCCGCTGGCCCGCCGCGCCTTCATCCAGCGGCGAACCGAGCGCCCCGGTTCTGCCGCCGGCGCCGCTGCCGCCGTCGTCCCTCGGCGCCGCCGGCTGCGGCGGCCGGCCCTCCTCCAGAGACGCGGCGGTGCCACCCCTGCGCCGCAGCGCGGCACCTGGCCTCGGCGTCGAGCCGCCGCCGCCCTCCTGGGCCCCGGGCAGCCGCTCACCCTTGAGTGCGCATTGGTAGGCCTGCTCCCGCTCTGCCCTGAACACGACACCCTGCGCAAGGGGGGGGGTGATTAATGTGGGTCCATTGATGAATGGTCAGCCATCACATTTTTGCAAAGGCAGCTGTGAGAGTGTCGATGGTTCGAGGCGCACGCAAGGCATGGCGCACTCCTCCCGCCGCCCCCGCCCCATCCAGCACACATACACACTCACACACACACACACACACGCGCGCGCGCGCGCGCAAAGTCTTTTGTATGGGTGAAACAAAGCCCTGGAACTAGTGCGGTTTCCTCCGAAACCGCGGACTGGCTGCGCCTAGCACCTCTCGTTGCACACACAAGCGGCGCGTCGACGACCTCCCACTGTCAAGGGAACACTTTGCGAAAGCAGTCGTACGTTCTTCGCTCCCATTGGAAGGACACTGCTGTGAGCTGGGATGCCCCATTCAGTCGCCCAGAACAGCCCGCACACGCGCAAGCCCACACCTGCGTCCGCCGCTCGTCCAGCAGGTCGGGGGGAATTGGCAGCGCCCGCAGCAGACGCACCGCGCCAGACACCACAAAAGCAAACGCGTCAGCGTTCGCACCCTGGCGGATAATGACCTGAGTTTGAAGGCGGGAAGCAGCGCCGGCATGCGCTATGGGGTAGAGCTCTATGGGGTAGAGGGAGCACGCACACGCGATTGCACGAGCATTGGTGTGTGGCGTAGGGGCGAGGCCGCACCAATTGAGCACAAATGGACGGAGTGGGTGGGGGCGCACTACGAGGATACCGAGTAGCTCGAGGCTGCAGCCTCTGTCACAGCAATCCTGATTGCAGGCAAGCAATCCTGTCCGTGCGCTGCCAGCAGCAGCAGCAGCAGCAGCAGCAGCAGCAGCAGCAGCAGCAGCAGCAGCAGCTGCCGTAACCTGCGTGCCGCCCCGCCCCGCCCCAGTCGCCTATCTGCAGCCTCAGACTGGGCGCCCCGGCGCCGCGCGCCGATGCCTGCCGCCCACCCCACCTCGCCAGGCGCGTACTGCCTGAGCGTCGCGTTGATGGCCAGCGCCGTCAGGGGGCCGTCGGGCAGCCACTCCAGCGCCGGCAGGCCCCGCAGCAGCTCCTGGGCACGCGGCAGCCGGCGACGCGACCAAAAAATCAAATAACGGTGTCAACAGGCAGCCTTGCAGCGCTGGGTCTGTGTCAGCAGGCGCCGCTGCAGCGACAGACGTGCTGACACACGTGCTGTTGCGCTGCACCCCACCGGGTGCGCGCACAATCAAACACCACAGCGGAGGGGTATGCCATGGCGCCGGCCAGGACTCCGGCCTCGGAGGCGGAAGAGGCGCGAGCGCCGCCCGAACGGCAGCCTGGCTGGCCAACCGAGAGCTGCCTCGCCGCCGCCAGCAATAGGCACCGAGCAGTGCAGCCTGAGCACCAGGCTGCCTGGGGCCCAGGCTGTCAGGCTGACCGAGCCCACCTTGATGGCGGGGACGTCTGGGGACGCTTCCTGCGCGACCACCAGCGCCACCCGGTCCGCCGGCACCACCATCACCTCCACCCGGCCCCGGGCCACCGCCGTGGCGCCGTAAAGGGCGAGCGGTGGGAAGCCCCCGCTCGCGGCCGAGTGCGCCGCCAGGACGCAGGCGGCGCCGAGGCAGGCCGGGCGGAGCGGCGGGGCGGGGCCGGGGGCGCCGGGGGTGGAGCAGGCGCGGCCGGTGGGGCTGTCGCAGCCGTCAAAGTTCGCCGGTGACTCCACATTGACCTATGTTTGTGATCAGAGGAGGAGATTGGGCCCCAGGCTGCTGCCAATGGTGTTGCAGCAGTGCCTCAAAAGGGTGCAATCCACACAGGCTGTCGCACACAAAACGAGGAGTCGGAGCTCCCGCTGGGCGCAGCGGCGGCATGCCCCGCCCTGACAGCCGCTCGCCGTGTGGAGCTCTGCACTACTATGGCCACGCAACCTCAAAGCAAGTTGAAGGCACAACGCCCGCCGCAAAGCTGCAGCGCTGCCAGAGCTCGCAGCCGGGCTGCTGGTCAGACGTGATTCGCGCTGGGCGTCAAACGACATGGGCAACGCACTCGTGATAGTGCCGGCCGCCCCGGCTGAAAATGGTTTAAACCCTGGGACGATGCGAGCGGGCCGCACCTGCCCAGATATGGTTATTATCAGGCGGTCCACTGGGTCCCCCAACCGGCACAGCACGCTGCCAGGCGCAAACATCTCGAGCCGCGCGTGGCGCGCCAGTGCGTGACGCACGCTCCTGCGCGCGAGCAGTGCGCAGGGCGCGGCGAGGGGGGTTGGCCGCGCTGGCGGGCTTCGCGACAGGGCTCGGCCAAGCGTGGAGGGGTGCGGACGGCGCGCCGATGCTTGCCAACAGGAACTGACCCTGTAGGCACCCAATGGTGAAACTTGAGAACACTGTCAGCGTGGGGACACAGGCGAACGCACTTTAAATGCACCAGCCCCCCTATACACACACACATGCGCACACACTCAAACACACACACACACACACACACACTCTCTCTCTCTCTCTCTCTCTCTCTCTCTCTCTCGCTCTCGCTCTCGCTCTCTCTCTCTCTTTTACACACACACACACACACACACACACACGCGCGCGCGCGCGCACACACACAACTACGCGCCTGGAGAGCAGCGCGAGAGCATCGCACTGCTGCAGCAGGACGTCGATGATCTGGAGATCATGACGACTCCTGGCCGCAGGCGGCGTTGACGTGAGTATGTGCGATCGCAGGCTTCCGCGCTTGCTGCCGGCCGCGGAGATCGCGCCCGCGGCGAGGCCGCCGGCGGCGGCGCGGCGGTTTGCGGCGAGGGTGTGGCGGATGGCGGCCGACCAGCGGGCCCGGGCTGCGCGGCATGCGGTTTTTGTGGATGACTCTTACGTTTGGTATTACGTGCGCTGTGTTTGCAAAGAGTGACACTAGCTTACATGCATGGATGTTTCCATTGCCGCCGGCCACGCACGCAAAGCAGCACAGCACGCTGCACAACGAAACCCCCGCGACGCACCCTCTGGGTTGCCTGTTCGCCCGCCGCCTTTTGTGTCCATCGTATTAGCAGTGTGAATCCTTTTAGTGACCAAAGAGCGCCGGTGTGACACCTGCAGATGAAGCTCTAGGTCAGCATGCGTCGAAATGGGTTGTGGGTCCGCATCATGATGCTTGACGTATGTTTTACACTCATATTTGACCCATGTCTAGGTGATCCTACATATACGAGCACAACGCCCCGAGGAATTTTAAGCGCCGGAGCTTGTGCCCAACACCCGTCTTGGTGCTAGCCTGCGCCGTGCTCGCCCTCTTTCAGGCCTTGTTGCCTACTACTGCCACAGCCTGTCAAGCAGGCTCCCCTCGCCAGGATGGCGCCCAAGGAGCAGAAGAGCAAGGAGGCGAAGGCGATCGCTGCCTCCAACAGCAGCAAGGGCAAGAAGAAGGTGATTTTTTCTGTGCTAATGAATGCGTTTCAGTCAACAGTTTGCACGTAGCCTCGCGGGGAGCAGCGGGCATGGCGGCCAAGCTGCCTGTGACGCGCTGTTGTCTTTTCAAGCAGACCTGATGTATATGATGTATCTGGATAAATCTTTGGACGCAGCAAGCACCGTGCTGAGCGCCCCGCGTGGTGGTCGCCGTGATGTGTTGCTGCCCCCGCAGAAGTGGAGCAAGGGGAAGGTGAAGGAGAAGGTTAACAACCTGGTCCTCTTCGACCAGGTGCGGCGACGCGGCAGCAACAGCGGCGGCGGCGCAGCGGTGCAGCGGCGCGCGAGCGCGTGCATGGCGCGCAGCATGAAACGGAAATGCTGCATGGCCGACATCAGCCACTTAAGTGGGGCGCCGGCGTACATCTATGATGCCAATGTCGCTGCTGCAACGCTCATTGACGGGCCGCTTGCGGCCGCTGAATCGGCAACGGGTGCAGAGATAATTGTCCGCAACCACCGTCTCACGTGTCGCAACCACCGTCTCCCTCCCGTGCGCTATGCGTGCCCTGCTTCTGCCCCCCAGCCCACCTACGACAAGCTGATCTCGGAGGTGCCGAAGTACAAGATGATCACCCCCTCGATCCTTGCCGACCGCCTGCGGGTGAGCGGCACGGCTGGCGGCCCAGCTGCGGCTTGGGGGAGCGCAACTTGAGGGTCACTGCTGCGCCGCAAGTGCAGGCACGCTGGCGGCCGCGCGCATGTTGTCGGCAGGCCGCCCCGGTGCGGCAGGGCAACCCAGCGAGACTGGCGGAGATAATGCGGCCTTAGCCCCGGCAGGCGCTAAAAAGCATGAGTGTGGCGGCTCTGGCGCCGGGCCCTTGCGGCGGGGGCGGGAGGCGGGGCGCCGCATGTCGAAGTGGCAGGGAACGAGTGAGGCGACGAGGCAAAGCGGGAGGGAGGGATGGAGGGAGCATATTTTAAATGGCTCACGCAGCCTGCCGCAGAGGCAGCGGCACGGACGAGAGTGCTGGCTTAATATGCTGGGAGCCCGCGGCAGTGTCCATCACAGCCACTGGAGTGGCGGCGACGGTGGAGACGGCAGCGGCGGGCGCACAGTGCACCGCCTGACTCAGTGGACAACAGGAGCAGCAGCAGCAGCACTGACAGCAGCAGCAACGGGAGCAGCAGAAGCGCAAGCAGCAGCAGCACTGAAGCCGCAGCGGTAGCAGCAGCGGTAACAACAACTGCCGCACACGCCCATCCGGTGCCCGAATCGTGTCGCGCACATCTCACCTTCCCCTCTCAGCCATTTGCTGCTGCGCCCTCCCCGCCCCCTGCAGCTCAACGGCAGCCTGGCGCGCGCCGCCATCCGGGAGCTGCTGGCCAAGCAGCTGATCAAGCCCGTGGCGGAGCACTCCAACCAGAAGATCTACACGCGCGCGGTCGGCCAGTGATTGTCTCAACCACCGGGACGCCGCATGCTCAAACTGCAGCGGTTCGGCAGCAGCGGCCGTGGCGGCAGCGGCGGGGCGCTCTTGTGTTGCAGGGCGCCGCGGCTTGCCTCCGAGCTCCTTGGCCTGTAATCAGTGTCGTTCACGGGCTCTGCCAGCCGCCTCAGCAGGCGCTTCTTGCCACCTTATTGGGGTCATTTGACGTGGGGTGAGGTGCGCCATAGCGTTTCGGCTAGCGCGATCGCCTGCTGCGGCCGCGCTGCTGCTGATGGGTCCGAGTGGCACCAAGCTGCGGTGGGCGCTGAGCAGGTCGCACCTGCAGAGTGGCAGGGGGCTCACTGCGGTTGTCGCTGCTCATGCAGTCGCAAAGAGGCGGGCGTTACAACAAAAATCAACTGCGTGTGGCAATTTCACGGCCCACGAAATGGTGCAGAATGGCTGGGATGTGTACAAACGATGACTGTCAAACAAACTGAAACTAAATTTAGCACCAGGCCTGGGCGTGCGCAGTTGCAGCGCCGCCTGCAGCAGCGGTCTCGCAGCCTTATCATAGGCAAGCTGTCCGTCGCGCGGCGTGCAGCACGCACTCGCGGCGGCCCCAGCATCAAAAGTCATGGGGCAGGTGCCAGCTGCTGCTCCGCCGCAGTCCGCAGACGCCCGGACTGCGCGCCGGCGGCACGTGGCCGCCCAGCCGCCGCCGCCGCCGCCCCGCGCCGCCGGGCCTCAGGGGCCGCCTCTGGCCGCTGCTCATCTGCCGCGGCCGCGGCCCCGCCCGCACCGACGCCCTTCCCCACCGCCGCGCCAGCGTCCGCGCCGCCGAAGCCTGAGCCGGCCGCCTCTCCGAGCGCGCTGTTGTCAAGCCGGGCGCCCCCGGCCCCGCCGCCGCCGCCGCTCCACAATCGCGCGCGCGGGGCGCGGCCGTCGGCCGTCGGCGCGGGGGCGCTGCACGCGGCGGCGGCCGCGGCCTCGGCGGCGGACGCCCTCGCGGCCAGCAGCAGCGGGTGGTCCCTAAAAGCCGGCAAGGGTCGCGGCGGCGTGGGCGGCGCTTTCAACGCCCGCTCGAAGGTTGCATTCTGTACGCATCACCGAGGGCCGGCGCCGGCCAGAGCTCGATCTTCGGCGCCTTTGGCTGAGGACACCCCGCGACGCGGCTTGCCGAGGGAGTGTCGAGGCCACCCCTTGGCATCCGTGCCAAAAGCTTGTCGTGAGCGGCGCCCCCAGGGCCCGCGGCCCGCGGCATGCGGCACGCGGCACGCGGCCGGCGCCGGCCCTCGCCCCGCGACGGCCCGCCGCCCGGCCCCCCCACCTAGGCAGCGGCGCCCGCAACAGCACGAGAGCCTCCAGCACGCAGCGCCGCTCCCGCACGTCCAGCTTGCCCCGCGACGCCAGGAGCGCCGCGCGCGCCGCCAGCCGCGCGAGCGCCTTGTCGGGCGGCCGGTAGCGCAGCACGCGCAGCGCCCACAGGCAGTTGGTGAGCTCCTGGGGGGTGGGTGTGCGCGGCGGAGGCGAGGGCGCGGCAGGTTTTGCGGGGGCGGTCCGTTCAAAACATTCACCAGACTTAGTGGTGTCTGGAACACCGGTGGAGCTCAGCTTTGTTCTCGGCGGCCAGAAACTTGGGGGATCAACGGTCTGTGCATGGTAAGCATTGGAGTCAGCCACGTCCTGGGTGCCTCAAAATCAAGGCGACCGGCGCCCGCAAGCGGGGCGTGGCAGGGACTGCGGGGTTGTGTGTGCGAAGGTACGGCGATAGCGCAGCGATGCGGCGTGCGGCGCGCGCGCCGTGATGCGCACGCGGCGGCTCCCACCTGGTGCCCAAGCTCCCCCGAGCGCCGCGCCATCGCGGCGCTGGCGCGCGCGATCCACTGCACCGGCGGCTGCGCGCGCAGCCTGGGGGCGGGG